TACTTATACTTAGTGTATTATTAAATTTGGATTTTACATGAATTGATTTTTATGTATAGTGATCCAGAATTTAGGATTTGTACAGCTTTGTCTGATTATACATGTATAATATATTCTGTTGGAGAGAGTTTAAGTCGGACTATTAAGTTAACTCACAATAAAACACCTATTGTTGGCATTAAGTTTAGTCCTACTTCTAGAAATATTCTTTATACAGCAACAAACAATGGACTAATTCAAGCATATGATTTGCGAGCTAAAGGAAAAGTTATTGCAGAATTTAAAGGTATGTACCAAGAGAAAGATCAAATATAGAAAATAAATGAAAACTTTATATTTATGTTAATGCCTGTCATAATTTAAATGTGTATATATTCATTTGTTGTAATTTAACTTATTTTCAGATAGTACTGAAGATGGAAAAATGAAACGTCTCTGTAGTTTTGATATAAGCTGTGATGAAAAGCTTATAGCAGGTGGTACTGAACATATTGGGGGAGACACATTTATTTTATTTTGGGATACTCGATATATCAATACAAAAATAGATGATAAAAATAATTTTCTTGGTGGGTACTGGCAATCTCACATAGAAGATGTAACTTCTTTGGCATTTCATTCTAGTAAGCAGGATGTCTTAGCATCTGGTAGTACTGATGGATTGATTAATGTCTTCGATCTTACAAAGCCCTCAGAAGATTCTGCATTAACTTATTCTTTGAATACTGAATCATCTGTGGTAAGTTATTTTTGAGAAAATTTTTAATGTATTTGTACTATCAAATTGATTATAACTTGTGTTTTAAACAAAAGGACAGGATAGGATGGTTTAATGATGATAATCTATGGTGTACAACACATACACATTCACTACAACTTTGGAACTGTTCTGGAGCAGAACCATATGCTAAATTTGAACGCAATAACTTAGCAGTTTCACAGGTTAATACATTAAATGTAGTTTTTAATATTGATGTTTATATATATATAAGAAATCACATTAAAATAACTTAAAAACAATCTTAAAATAAAACACTGAAAAATAATTTATATATGTATAAGATTTGAATCAATCCATGTTAATATTTCCGACACTATTACTGATACTAAAAAATGTTTCAGAAGTTGAATAGTTTTAATGTAAATATAATCTTATATCAGTATTTTTTTTTTAATCAAGATGTGCAAGAAACATGTGAAGGTCAACTTTGTTTTTTTAAATGGAACTACATACTTATCAAATTGTATCCTACTTAAAGCAATTAAACTTTTGCCTAAAGTATTCTTTAGTATCATTAGTTTTTAAGACATTTACATGGATCGATTTAAATAGAATACCACATTTATGTAACTATTAAATATTGAAGTTTTTATTTTTTTAACTTAAGGACCTGATAAAACAAAATAGTATAACATTAAATTCTATTGTCATTGGTAGTGTTAATTAGATACTTCAATGTGAATAATTATTTTTCTGTATTTATAATATTTTTCATACGTGTTTCTCATTAAAATATTTTAGGGAAAATTTGAGAGGTTTAAACATCGTAAATGATCGATTGGAAACGTGTTACAAAATAATGGGAAATAAACAAATAGTACGTGACAGTTGGCTACATGAAAAGGTATAATTTTAATATAGATAAACTTATACAAACTTAGTCATTTAATTTATATAGAATATGACCATAAGGATGGTATACAGTACCGCGTATAAAATCGGCCCCGAACGCAAAATACAGTTTTAATTTTATTTGGTAGTAACGTACTGTACATTTCAGTTACGTTTGGTATGTTAAATATACGGTATTTTTAATTTAAAAATGCTTTAATTTCCACTATTTACACGTTTATCAGCATTTTTATCTCTGTACAAAATATAGTTTTAAAACTGTACTTTACGTTTCGGGCCAATTTTATGTGCGCCACCTAGTGCAACCGGATATGGGGTAATTTCCGTTTGATTCCCAGATGGGGAAATTTCTTCATTTGAAGCTTCAATTTTGAAAATGTTGCACATGGGTACAATTGCTATTATATTATTTTAATCTTTATTAGTGTTTGTAGTCATTAATAGTGGCACTGAAAATTAATTCCATCTGGTTTGGAAAATTAGAAAAACGAATACACAGTAAAATAATATACTAGTAGCTGCGTGCCTATGCAATAATTTTCTAAAGTTGATTTTCTCAAAAGCAAAGCCTCCTAAAAAAGAATTTCACTGCATATTTTCGATGTATTTTTTACAGAAGAGATCATCCTATGTCTGGTTGCACTACAGCTGCGGTCATGCTATGTATACAACAAAAGATGTAATGTTTCATTATAATTTGCAGAGTGGTTCCTTGGTAACAGTAGGCGAAAGTGGATTTATAAATATTTGGAGACAAACAGAAACAATGCCTATGCAACAAAGTTCTAGCCATAAATTGGTGGCAAAAATTGGTATTGGCAAAGGATGTGATCGTCAATACAGGACTAAGCCATATTAACTAAAAGTGATGGGATAAAAATTTGTAAATGCAAAAAGGAGTTTTTGTAAGTAAATATAATAAACAGAAGAGAAATATCACGTAACATTAACATAATCGTACATTTCCCTCACGTTCTTCTTTATTACAATAACAGTTGTATGTACATTCATAATAAATAGATATTATTTCTTTATGCGGTTAATGATTTAACGGCGAATCATGTATCAATCGAAAAATGTAGCACATGTGTATATAAACGTTAAGGACTGTAAATCACATACCAGTGTGTGTATATATCTGTATAGAATTGAAACAGGAAGAAAAATATCGTAAATATTTGTTTACTCTTGCCAAGTAACAGATTAACTTCTATGGATCGCCTTACGGAAAAATTATTTCGTTTTGCAATATAAGGATTTATTAAAATAGGAGCTTAAAACGTGCATTTGTTATAAAATAGACGTACTTAGCGTATCGTGAATAAATGGTAATCTTGATAAAGTGATCAAGCAAATAACACAATAATAACAATTAATATTAGCATATAATCGATATAACGGCCTTTAGTTTAAAATTGTTCAACTCTAAGAGAATTAATGCTAATATATCGAGTGAACGCGTTTTAAAACAAATACGCGTTCACTTATTAGATATAATTTTACATTAACGTTTCCAAAGACGATCGCAGTAGCGAGTATCACAATGATAACAGTAGATATAGTTTTAGAGTAAAATAGTAGGTACAGAGTAAACGTACAAAAATACTTCCCATGAGCGTCAGGGACGTAAAGATTCACTAATACGTGGAAAACCGCGTTACTAATAATTCTTTATATCCTTTCTTAAACTTATGCTGTCAAGTGACATCGAACATTTTGAATGCCACGAGACGCATGTAGGCCGCCGCACTACTCCTTAGTTGTTATTCCAATTTGATTCTTCGCATTACCCTGAAGATGGTGTGCGACTTCATTGCATAAGGATAATATTTAATAACAATAAACTTTAATCGTATCAAGCTACATTTGACACAGTGCAATGTTCTTAATGTATATAAAGAATACATTCTTTAATGTATATTTATGTGTATATATTTAAATACCTATCTGGAATGATCTTTTGGAATTACGTTTCAGTTTTAAAACTTACTTTTCACATATGTTTCATGTTCTTCTTATAATAAACGTTATGACATTAAGAATGTTTTAATTTGTGTTAAGTGTTCTTGAAATGAAGTCGAACACTCATCCATGAAGGCTACTAACAGGTTAATACAATATCATTTACGAGCTGATATATGCTCGGCATTTTTTTAAATAATACATTTGTAAGAACTCATTGTTTTTTTTTTTCTCACACTTTACATCTTATAGAAATACTTTTAAGAACTATTGTCACCACGATTGATTGAGACGAGTTGATAGCATTATTTATGTTTTCTTATGAAGATAAGTTAATTAGTCACATGTTTTACCACCGTGCCTCGACGACGCTGTCCTTTTATACGATCATATTGCACGCTATAGCATCTTATGAGGCAAATCTACGCGAAATATAAATACATATGTATCAAAACAAAGTTCTGACTTTGTAGTGACAATTTACGACCTAGAGCAATATTTTATTTTAACTTCAAATATAATTTTCATTTTACTGGTTAATACATGAAACGATAAAATGAACATTTTAAACGTGCAGTATGATCATTCTTTGTGTAATACTTTCTCTGAAACGAGTTCTATTTTCACGAAATAGTCGAAAACTGTCTCCATTGAAAAAAACCTTACATAAATACAAAATATTTTAGACGATCGAGAATTATCACTGATCTTAAATAAGGCAATAAATAAAATAGCTTGTAAATCGTTAAAAAAAAAGAAGAAACGGTTACAGAGCAACGATAATGGCAGTGAATAATCTCGAGAAAAAATATCAAATATAAAATGTCATTTGGATTGCTATTAATCCAATCAAATTAAAAACAATTTGTGTTCAAAGAATGGTGCAATGAAGTTCGAAAAATTAATGACTTCGATCTGTGACTTGGCACACGTAATAATGATTCATTTTTGTTAATAATAGATCTTACCCGTCGTTTTAGCACGTATTAAAATACCTGTTATGGTATAAGAATAGCTACCACAGTCACTCACGCATTCGTACATAACGTGCGTAACCACATAAATGCGCACGTATACGTTTTGATAAAACAAAATTGTACACATACGCGTGTACACTCATTATAATTTCATTCATATGCACGCATATACTTTTGCACGTTTTCATTCTCACATACGTACACGTGACTTCATACATATGCCATGAAAAAGTATATATATATACACACATCCATGTATATGCAATTCTAATATAATGTATTTTCTCTACCTTGCATTTTCAGCAAGCTGCAACAGATTTGCTTAAAAGATTCATCTAAAATCATGTCTCTAAAAGTGTCAGTCGGCTTAATAACGCAACAAGTAAGGATTCAACAAGATCGGCTGATCTATCTCACTAAGCCGGCTGTCGTGTACCTCGCGTCGGTTTGCAGAGTTTTGCAAACTCGGATCACGATGAGAAAATTTGTATGCTTTTTAATAAGGTCTGAAGAGAGCCCGGAGTACTATATTTCGAACCTTGGTGGATAAGACTCGGCTTATCGCTTAAAATCAGTGCTCAGATTAATTGAAGACTTGATTGTTTGTCGGTTGGTGTTCGGAAAAAGACTGGAATTTCGGAAGAGGAGGAGAATCTGAGCTGTTGAAGGCGGAGTTAATTTTGGGGGGTGAATAACTGGAAAATGTAGAAAATCGGTTATTGATGGTTGAGCATTTCTTAAATAGATAGAGAAAGGATAGAAGTGGTGATGGAAGGATGAGTTGTCTTATTTCTGGGAAAACCCGGTAGAAAAGGAGATGGAATATGAGAGAAGGAAGAGGTTAGTTTGGTAATTAGGAAGTCGGTACAATGAATGATAAAATTGTGTCTAAGCTAATGTCGATCGATTATGATTTTATTGGGGGGTACACGCGTCTAACGATCCCGTTAATCCTCCGAGTCGCGGCTCCTTCAGGCCTGTTTTACAATCCTTTTGAAAAGAAATGTCCTGTACGGAACACCGGCCATTTTAATACTTTTTTTTCCCGCGAATATTTCTGAGCACTAATCGTTATCTTTTTATTTGTCCATATATTTTATAATTATTCTTCCTTTATAGTAGATTCTGTGACATTGTGCATAAAAATTATATTATTGCCCTCAGTAGCAGTTGAAAAGTAATATTACTTTTTATCAATTTATCGAGAATAATATGTATATTCTTTTTCTTTATTGACAGTCACGTTATTATTATGGACACGTTAAATGCATCATTTACGTACTATGTTGCATTTCAACATACAACACGAATAAAATTGTTACAGGGAAGAAGAAAGAAGTAGAAAACAAAGGGAAAAGAAATACGAGCAAGTAAGACAGAGGAAGTTCATTTTAGCGAAAATTTGAAGTAATAAAAAAAGGAAAAATATGACAGACAAGAAAGAAGCATGTATAAACAAAAAATGAACTTGGAAAAATTGAAAGTAACAGTAACTATGAAGAAAATATTAAAAGTAAGCTTTTTACCGAGAAAATGTTGAAAGTCAAAATGACTTCACACGACTTCTAGGTTGAGCATCTTTTGATTGATTTCGGGAGGGAGTTAGTGTTGAAGTCGGGGTAGCTTCGCCCGTTGTAGGACGAGAAGATCGAGAATGCTTCCGACCAAAGCGAAAGAGTCGTCAGAAAAAAATTACCTCTTCTTCCAAAGGTTGTTGCTGCTCAGTTCGTTGATGCTGTTGTTGATGTGAATATTCTGGTGGCGATCGTGTGATTCGAAGCGAACGGTTCGAAGAGTGAGTTTGACTCGTTCCGGCATGATTGTTTCCTAATTCTGACGAAGAATATGTAGAACCAGTCACGATTGCCGGACTACTTCCTGTCCGTGAATGTCGATCCGGACTGTTATTACTTGCGCTTCCAGTTCTGTTTATCATAAAATAAAATATGCATTATTAAAATATACTTTTAATATTTATAATTGTACATTTTGCATTTTAAACAGTTAGCTGATTTTCAGCAAAATAATATGTACACTAAATTAATCGTAATATAAAATATTTATAAATACCTAGAATTATTGTTGCTTCCGCTAGCAAGTTTTAAAGGCAATTGTTGTTTAACTGGAAGATTACTTTGCACTTTCTGCTGATTAGTAGCACTAATTAAATTTAACGGTATTCGTTTAGCATCCGGTTGTGCTTTTCGTGTCTGTACTGTATCAGATGCTTGTATCATGTGAGATAAGTGAATAGTAGAACTAGGTGCGGAACCTGTAACTAACGTTACTCCTTGTCGTTCTAATGCTTCGAGACGTCGGTATAATTGATCACGTTGCTGCGTAACGTCTCTCTGTTCTGCCGCTAATTGTTCTCGTTGCCTTGCTAATTCCGCTCGTTCTTCTTCCAGTTGTTTTTGTTCTTGTTGAGACGCGGCGCGAAATGCTGCTTTCTCTCGACTCAATTGATCTTGTAAATTACGTAACTCTTCTAACTGGCGATTTGGATTAGGTCTATTATTTGATTTACCTATACTTCCTTCCTTACACGCAGCTAATTGAGCCTGTAGGCTATCGATTGTCGTCATCTGATTACTAATTATACAGACCAACCTATAAACATGATGAGATAAACGAATTGCTGCCCATTGTTGATCTTTATTTATTTCTAAATCCTGACTTTCTTTTTCATCGGGACTTTCCTTCATGAATTCACCAACTTTTGGAAGAGAAATTACGGAATGAATCGTAGAATCTCGCAACGGATATTTTTCCTAAGGAAAAGCATACAATTAATATTTTAATTTGAACTATTAATGTATTGTATATTTACTTTGTTATGATCAAAACCCGCAAATGTCTCCGCTCTTCGAGGAACACAAAGGGCAGGTGGAACATAGGCCTCACTATGTCGTTCTCCCGCAGAACTTAAACTTCTTGAAAGAGTAGCACCACCCGCATTAAAAGATAATGAGCTAGCAAGTTTTGTTGCCTCTTGTATTGCTGCAACCACCTAAAAGGAAAAGTTACTTTTTCAGTTTTAATTTTATTTATACAGAGTGTAACAAAAATGAATGGACAAACTTTGAAAGTGTATTATACTCATTTTAAGGATAAAAAAAGATGATATAAACATAGGTCACGAAATTTTGTATTACTGACATATAAACAGTTTTTGTTTGTGGTGAAGTATAACAAGAATGTCTGTCGCGCAGAGAATTTCAAGTATTAGAAGTAAGTACTAATAGTACTTATTGAATAAATAGACTTGACCTTGAAATCAATGTAAATTGTTCCCTCTATTCAAATTCCCGGACTTTTTGTTCATTACTGCATAATCGCTGCGTATGACAAAATTCGAAGTACTTCGAAAAGCTTTGAGCGTGTTCAACAGTTCATGAAACGTCGATGAGAACTATGCATGATTGCAGAAGGAATTCATTTCCAGTAATTCCTTTAATGAAATAGGTAAACAAAAAATGTGTATATTTCGGATCTATAATCTAACCTCTTTTTATCCTAATATAAGTAGAATACGCTTCTCAAGTTTGTACACTAAATTTGTTATTTTAAAAATATGTAGTAACTTAAAACATTGTGACCTCTTGCCGTAACTGGGTAGTGTCTGTTCCTTCATTGTGAACTAATCTAGTATAATCCGGAAATTCTTTATCAACTTTTTCTATTCTCTCATTATCACTACTTTCATTTCCACCCCAAATGTTTGCAGTATACAAAAGCTGCATTTGTAGATTTATTTTTTTTTCGAGCAATAGTGCTTGTTCCGCGTCTTTTTTACGAAGTTCACCTAATTGTAATAATATGAAGTGACACTTATCAATAGTATATTCAATTTTTTATTAAAATATATGACTAATGATAAAATGTCATACATACCAACTATCTTTAGAACATGTGTTTCTTTAGTTTTAACTAAACGTTGTCTTTCTTCAACAGAAAGTAACGATATAGAAGATGAACGTGTATCTCTTAATTCATTATTACTATTGTTTTCAGTTAATGTATCATTTTCATTTTCAGATTCTTGCGGACAGGATTCAACTGCAGATCTAATAGCTTGAATCCATAATTGTTTGTCTTTGGGTTTCTGAATTTTTAATTCGAACATTTCAGGTTCAGTCGGATTGCTACATATTAAATAGATTCCTCTAGACTCTTGACCAGCCTTTTCACGTACTAGTAATTTTTGAAGTGATACTATACCAGCCTTATTGTCAGGCACAAAAAATGCATACTTCTGATCCCTCTCGGCCAAGAAAAATAGTATATCAGAAAGAACAACCACTACAATGGCAGTCATTTTTCCACGACCTTGCATTAAATATGCAGTACCTTCAAATTTCAAAATTCTATTATATGCCATGATATCTGATTTTTTGAATTTGGCACCACGATATGTAACAAAAGACTTTGCATCAATCCTAAAAATAATAATGAAAATAATATTAATAGTAATAGCAAAAAAACTGAAAATGTTTCACAAAACATAATTTTCTTACTTATGATAGATTTCTAATTTCCTATCTTCTCTTTCCTTATCAGCTACGCACGCATCCACATCAGCTAAAATTTCTTTGACAAGAACCAAAGCTTTACGTAAATCTTCACCTTCTTCTTGTACAATACCAGTTTTTATAAGTGGTTCAACTAGTAACGGATACTTTGTTAAACGCTGAGTAACAAACAGAATGCACTCAGGAATTCCTTTTTTCTTCAACAAGGGATGCGACTACAAACATTGATTATATACGTCTTTATATTATTGCATAAGAAAAAGTAAAATAAAGAAAGAATAAACTAATACGGTACTATAATTACCTGACATTGACGCACGAACCGTGCAAATCGAGGATCGTGACGCAAGTAATATTTGTAAGTTTCAACAGCATCTCTATGACGGCTACAGAATTCTCCATAGGCACTCTTCATACGTTGTGCATTCTCTCCAAAGAATTGATCAACTAATATATCAGCGATTGTAGGAACAACAGGGTTTGTGTTTTGTCGCTTGCGTAATTTTTGCAAAAATCGTAAATGAATATCAATGAGATCACGTAATCTGGGAAACATGCGTTCTAGATCTGGTTGACCCAAGCGAAAGTGACGTCGAAGACCTTCAGCGAAAATTCTCTCCATTGCAAGGAGTACTAAGCAATGATGTTTTTCCGTAAGGACAAATTCATAAATGTGTTCTTGTCTTTTTACTTTCCGTTCGCAATTATCAGCTAGTCGTAATGCGACGTTATGTCCAATGGCAGCGCTCCAGGAGTCAGGTTCTTCTTTAGCTAGGCCTAATTCTGGATCAAGACCTTCCAAATCACCCACAGTAAATTGATAAGCATCATCTGCAAAGTCGAATCCTTCCAACCCACTAGAATATTGCATTAGAAATAAAACTTTTATTAAATATAGGTATTTTGGAAATAAATAAGTTTTATTGGGAGTTTAATAATAAAAGTCTGTACAAACCTAGATATATCACGATGTTGTCCATCTCCATCTTTTTCCTCATTTATTGTTTGACTGAAAGAAAAATAGAATTGCATACTTCAAAATATTATTTTTTCATAAAAAGAAAATGTTGAATTTGCTGTATTTTGCAATTATAACTAATTTTATCTTAATGTTCTTTTTATATCTCATTTTAACTGTAATTTTGAATAATATCACGATATATTGTTTATTTATAAATATAATAAACTATGTACAATGTGTGATTATATTTTTACTGTCAATTTAACATTACCTTCTCTATAAATGTAATCTGCAAAGCAGCACCTATATTTCTTTTATAAGTGTTTCTATGTGCATTTCAATTTTTTATCTCTTAAGTAAATAAATTAAGACTATCTATAGAAAAATT